TTAACTTAAAATGTCGAAATCTGCCGGCACATGTACACTTTTATTATCCTGGTGCCTATAGTGTGGATTACGTACATATAAAAGGCCTGCCTGCCGCCATGGCGAACATAAACATGAAAACAGAGTGGCTCAGTCAGGCAAACTTACACACGGAGGATGTGAAATCTGGAGTTTAGATTGGATCCAGCCTTTCTCAATCATGGCTCCTAGATTTTGGAACTTAGATATCACTCATGCATCTTTATTTCCTGTTTTTCACACTTTAATTAGTATGTGACACAGTGTGCGCTGATTTGCTTTGCAGGGTTACTGTTTAATATTATGTTTACATGTCTTGTTTAGTTTTTTTATTTCATGTTTCTACAGCAGGGGTCTTCAACATTTTCCAGAACAAGGAGCCCCAAACTGATGGCAAGATGGAGCGGGGACCCCCTAATTATATATATTGTATGAAACAGTGTTCTATCAAACTGGTCCTATAGTCACTCTATTACAGATGGAGTCAGGTAACGGAAGTAATCCCTCCCTGGGATTATTAAAGTATTTCTGATTCCTGGTTGATGGGACAGGTGTTGTGAATGAAACGGTGCCCAGCTTGAAAGAGCTCCTGTGTGTCTCTGAATGTGAGCATTGATGACTGAAAGACATCTTCTGCCTCCATTTATCTGTTTACTACAGTGCGTTTAATTCATGTTTATGTGTATTTAAAGACTTTTTAATTAGTCGAAAAATTGCAGGGGGGAATATTAAAAAAAGAGTGTTATCAATCAAAACTTTTGCGACCCCCATGCAGTACCTCCGTGGAACCACTAGGGGTCACAGACCCCCTGTTGAAGACCTACGTTCTACAGCACTTTGGTTAAGTTCTTATATTTAACATGTGTTCCACTAAATAAAGTAAATTTGGATTTGGAAATGACCCTACTTTTATTCATAAATGTAAACAAAAAAGTTGAATTTCAGAGACGCAAAAATGTTCTGAAGTTTTTAGCCTAAGGAGGTAATGACTAGCCAGAACAGCACATTTTCTATTGCAGTGTTTTGCTAGTAGGCACTAGGGGTGGGTATTGGCAAAGAAGTCACGATTCGATTCGAATCACGATTCACATGCCACGATGTCATTCTATAACGATGCATACTTGAAATATTGCGATGCATCGCGATGCATTGCGATATTTTCACTGAACACTGTAAGAAAAAGATACAGCCAGTGGCTGACTGGCTGGGTGTGATCTGGATCGTGTCTTCAATTATACATAACTGAAAGCAACTGAATTCATACAGAGCTGTATTTATTGAAACGACTTTTGGAGGTGTTGCCATGAAAACAAATACTGGACACAAATATTACTATTACTGGCGTGGACACACTGACAAAAAGATCTTAGGATTCATCAAACTTAAAATAACAAAAATAGGGATAATCAGTGCCGTTTACATGGCCTCAGTGGTCCTTTAAACCAATGAAACGAAAACATTCAAATGTATATTTCCCCTTTTGCAAATTACGTGCGTCATATCAATTTTGTTTTTACCTTCTTTGTTTTTAAAGCCAAAATGCATCCAAGCATCTGACTTGAAATGCGATGGAGCCGCGGGGCGAATTTTCATAGTGTCCTCCATGTTTTATTTTATATAACTCGTCGCAGTATCCCATGGCTGGAAATGCTTGTGACACAAAGCAGCGGATGTAGACACATCCACAGCGACACCTACTGGACTGGAAGTTGTATTCTATTTGGTTTGGCTGATGTGCGGCAACCATTAATGTATTTTATTTGTTCATTTTTTTTTTTATAATCGCTTTTTGCTTTCAAGAATAG